ACGCCCTGGAGGTGGATTGAGTTTTGCCTTTCCATATCCTGTGCTCTGCTTCTTCATCTTTGGTCACACCACATCTTCCAAAATCCTCATTTCCAGAGTTAATTTCTATAAATGAACTGGGTTTGGTTTGGGAGTGAGGATGTGCAGTAACTATTTATTATAACATCAGCATCTGTCCTGCCCTGTATTTCCCAGAGCACTTCCACTAAAGCAGCAGCCGCCCCCTTGTCCGCAGCATCGGGGGATCTGGATCTGTTCACGGAGCCAACGACGAAATCCGAGGAGTCTGCGAAGAAACAGCTCTCCAAGGACTCCATCCTGTCCCTGTACGGCACAGGGACCATGCAGCAGCAGAACGCTCCGGGTAAATCATCTGTGAAAGCTTTCTGGGCAGTCTGAGTTCAAGCTTTACCTAGAATAGGTATCTCTGTTGGGTTATCTCCAGATTCAAATGAAGATTTTTATTTTTATGGCTTATAAAAATGAGAAAATTACTGGAATGTATTACAGAAAGTAAGGAAAAAATAGGGTGTGAATTTACTGTATTTAGTATACAATTTACTGGAAGACTGGAATTGATGCCTATGGTCTGTGTCTCCGCTGTGCAAGCAGCAGACTGCCAGGGTCACAGAGTCACAGGATATCAGGAGTTGGAAGGGACCTCGAAAGCTCAACCAGTCCAACCCCTGCCAGACCAGGATCACCCAGAGGAGGTCACCCAGGAACACGGCCAGGGGATTTGAATGTCTGCAGAGAAGGAGACTCCACAACCTCTCTGGGCAGCCTGGGCCATGCTCTGGCACCCTCACAGGAAAGAAGTTTCTCCTCATGTTCAGGTTGAACCTCCTATGCTCCAGCTTGGGACCATTGCCCCTTGTCCTGCCATTGGACATCCCAGAGCAGAGCCTGGCTCCTTCCTCCTGACACTCGCCCTTTCCAAATGGATCCCCATGAATGAGGTCACCCCTCAGTCTCCTCTGCTCCAAGCTCAAGAGCCCCAGCTCCCTCAGCCGCTCCTCAGCAGGAGATGCTCCACTCCCTCCATCATCTTTGTGGCTCTGCTGGACTCTTTCAAGCAGTTCCTGTCCTTCTTGACCTGAGGGGCCCAGAACTGAACACAATACTGCAGATGTGGTCAGCACAGAGCGGTTGTATCCTGGTTTTTGCTGTGTTTGGATAAAAACAGAGACTTCCAACACAGCAATTAAAAGATTTGAGCTCACCACAGGGTAGCAAGTCCCTTCCTTTTGAGAGGTTTTGAAGCAATTTTTTTACTTTTATCAGAAGCTAAATGAACAGCACTGATGTAAAGTCTGGAGCGTGTTCAGAGAAGAGCCACAAGGATGGTGAGGGCTCTGGAGAACAAGCCTTAGGAGGAGCGGCTGAGGGAACTGGGCTTGTTTAGCCTGGAGAAGAGAAGGCTGAGGGGAGACCTCATCACCACCTACAACTGCCTCAAGGGAGCTTGTAGAGAGGTGGGTGCTGGTCTCTTCTCCCAGGTGATGGGGGATAGAACAAGGGGAAACGGCACCAAGCTGTGCCAAGGGAGGTTCAGGTTAGAGATAAGGAGGAAGTTCTTTACTGAGAGGGTCGTCAGAGGCTGGAACAGGCTGCCCAGGGAGGTGGTGGAGCCCCCATCCCTGGATGTATTTAAAGAGCGGGTAAACGAGGTACTTAGGGATATGGTTTAGTGGGTAGACAGGAATGGTTGGACATGATGATCTCAGAGGGCTTTTCCAACCGAGCGATTCTGTGTGATTCTGTGTGTAAAGTTACCCTTTAAAATTAGTTTGGTGCACTTCTGATTTAAGGGTGAGAAAATCACAAAACTTTGTTGCTGAAATCTGCCCTTCCCTGGCACAGGTATGTTCATGGGCTCGTCCTCTATGCCGTTCACCACACAACCGTCGACTCATTTCCAAGGCTTCCCAGCCATGGGAGTTCCTGTGCCCGCAGCGACCGGGATGATGGGAAACATGATGGGACAGTCGGTGCCAGTGATGGGACAGAGCACGGGCGTGATGGTAGGCATGGGAATGCCCAACGGGTTCACTGGTACCACACAGACTGGTGTGATGGGACTTCCTCAGAACGTCGTGGGACCTCCGGGCGGAATGGTGGCACAGATGGGGACACCGCAAAACAAGTACGGCCTGCAGCAAAACCAGCCAGCGCAGTGGGGCCTCTCGCAGGTAAGGAGCGGGTGTCAACACAGCCTTGCAGTTAAACACAGAATTTAATGGTGTGAGGATGATAGCGACAGTTTTCATACAATTACAGAGTGGTTTGGGCTGTAGGGACCTTAAAGCTCATTCAGTCCAACCCCTGCCATGGGCAGGGCCACCTCCCAGCACACGATAATCTTTGAATTATAAGAACAATTACATGCTGCTTACTGGAGTAATTCAGGGAGTGAACCTCAGTGATGCTTTCGAGTAGATTATATTGATTTTTTCCTGTTCTGCTCAGTCCTGTGGTGTGAGCACTCCTGAAGCTAAGCAGCATTTCTTACGTGGATAAAAAGTACAGGCTGGCGCTCTGCTTTGAAAAGGGATTTTTAAAAGGCGAGAATTTCAAAATGTCAAAACCAAAAAAGTAGAGATCTGTGGATTTACTGCTAACGGGGTTTTTTTAGGTCTCTAACTTTAAAAAAGACCTGCATCAGCTTTGAAATGAAAACCCTGCTCCTTATCCAATACGTATTAGAAGCTGGCTGGCAGGACAAGCTCTTGGCGTGTTTCTGCCCTCCTGGCCCCTCAGACGTTACTGGTGCAGGGATGGCTTGCAGGGCATGTAGGGCGCTTTATACAGGCTGCTGCTCAACAGTTCTGCTCCAGAAGAGACGGACAGCGAGGTAAAGCACATTTCCATCAGCTGGTTTTAAAATTCTGCTGTTCAGTGATGGGTTGTTTGTGTGTGAATGCACACAATGCTGGATTTTACCCTAAAATACCAGTTTGCAATTCACTTAACAGTTTTGTCACCAGTGTTTCATTTTTCATTGTTTACTCATGTTTTCATGAACTCCAATTTCACTCAGTGCCGTCTCTAACTTGAATCTGATGTTGTTTATCCAAAATCCCTGCTCCTAGGCTCTGATTATTAATTGCTCCAAATGCTCTTCTGCTCTCAAGCTGATGAGAGAGAACACCTTGACTCCATCTGTACAGCTTAATTTTGGGAGTTGTCAATAAATGTCCATTTCTTTAGAAGGCAAGGAAGCATAACCTGGAGAACACTTTTACATCGAGCACTGCAACTTAAAGTGACTGGATAATATTTGTAGAGTGGAAATATTTTGGCAGCATCCCTGAACTGAATGTGCTGAAGTTTGAACTCTTTCCCACCTTTAGCTCGATGTCACCTTTAATTTCATGGGAACTATTTCACTTAGTTTTAAGAAGTTGTGGTATCTTGAGTAGATTCTTTAGCAAGAACGGTTTGACTTAAGATAATACTCGAGTTTTTAAATCTGCCTCATTCTTTGCTGATTGCCACCTCAATGGACAATTTAAATCCTTTGTATTCACCATGGACTATAAAAACTCGAGTATTCAACATTGTGAGAACTCCAATGAAATATTGCTGGAACAAAAAGCATCTGCAGTTGCAAATTATATTCCTCACTTTGGCATTTATGAGTTGCCACAATTTTAGTGGATAGCTTTGAAAGTTAAAAGCAAGTTCTTAGCACCTGAAACACATCAGCCTCCCCTGTCACATGCCCCGAGTTCACCAGTGGAGCGGTTGTACGGCCTTGATGTGCACCCGGTGCTGCAGCCGTCAGTGACGGGGAATGGTGATCACGGAACAGAAACTGCTCCAAAAGCTGCTTCTGGGAAAATGATTGGAAACCTGGGGGTGCTGCTTGACAGCCATGAACAGGAGCCAGCAGAGTGCCCAGGTGGCCAAGAAGGCCAACACCATCCTGGCTTGTACCAGCAATGGTGTGGCCAGCAGGAGCAGGGCAGGGATCCTGC